GTGTGTGTGTGTGTGTGAGGGGGGGGGGGGCCAGTGGCAAGCCTTCCCCCTATTTGTGTTACCTGCTGTCAATTTGAACTTTTTTCTCTTTTCTGTTTATCTAGATGACATGATGGGGCCACAAGCACAAGCGAGCGCAAAAAAATCCAGAAATGGCAAGATGACACGGCTACAATCCGCGCCGCAATCAATTCACAAGTCGCCTACGCGGAAACATTTTTTTTGTTTTTTGTTTTGCTTAGTTGCTGACCATTGTGTTTTACCCCCCCTTACAAGATTTGCCACGTTCCAGCAAACCATCGCTAACCAGCAGTCAGATACAGTTGATTTTTTTTTATTTTTTTATTACAAGAAAAACAATGGATTGTCATTAGCAAGAACTGCCAAGAAGCAGTTGAAATTGATTTTTTTTAATAATTATTTTATTTTTTTTCCCGGTCTGGCGAGGCAAGTGCTCCCAGGCCACTCTGGTAGCCTAGCTGATTCCCAATTTCTCACCTATTTCATATGTGTTGCTCTCATTGGCAATTGCTGTCAAGATCTCCAACTTCAGCTTCTTCACATATGACGGATCGCTGTAGCGGCAGTAGAAGAACTTGTAGTCGCTCACAAAAAGAGTCGGAGAACGCAATATGAGCATATGCAAGTGGCTGAGCACCGCGTATGCTAGCTCCGACGTCCCCGTGGTAATCAGCGTAACTAATGGCGACTTTATTCGCTCGTACACCTGTTCCAATCAATCAATCAATCATAACGTACGTTGACGTGAGAGCTTTGAGTTTTCAGGGGAAAAGATGGGACAAATATAGGAGAAAGATGGTAGAAAGGTGGGAGAAAAAAGGGAGAAAGAAGGGAGAAAGCAGGGAGAAAGAGAGGAGGAAGATGGAAGAAAGAGGGAGAATGATGGGAGAACGAGAGGAATAAGGGGAGTGAGAGAGGAGAGAGACAGGAGAAAGACAAGCGGGAGAACGAGAACGAGAAAGATAGAGGAAGAGAGGAGAGAGAGGAGAAAGAGAAGCGGAGAAAGAGAAGCGGAGAAAGAGAAGCGGAGAAAGAGAGGAGAAAGAGAAGCGGAGAAAGAGAAGCAGAGAAAGAGAGAAGAAAGAGAATAATAGTACCTGTTGATGCACATCGGCCATGGACATGGTGAGATGTAGAAACACTTTGCACGTTGCGAGGACTACAGCGCTGTTGGCGTGAACCAGCCTGTCTTCTAGGACGTTCATAATGTCAAAGGTCTCGTTGGCATGCGCCGGGACATACTTCGAAACCAGCTCCAGGACCAGACACTGGGCCCATTCGCTGAATTCCTTCATCCTGTGTGTATGTGGTCCAAAAGGATGGAGAGGAACACTTAGCCAATCAATCGGCACGACTGGAACAGAAGAAACATTATTTTATTACTTTTTTGGGAAGATTATCAATGTCATTACTGCTGAGCAAGGAGGGGAGGGGAAAAGGGGGAAGGGGGAAGGGGGAAGGGGGAAGGGGGAAAAGGGAAGGGCCAAAGGAAAGGGCGAGGGGGGGGAGGAGGATGGAATGTCATCATCGACAATTAAGGTACATTATTACGGAAACATGGATGGATGATGATAAAGGTCACTCGCACGAAGGGGCTTACTCCTCGGACGTTTTTTTCCTTTGCTTTTTTTTTCCGTTTTCTTCTATTTTTGTTTCTTAAACTTTCTTTCCTTTTTCTTTTCTTCTTTCCACCCCCTTTGACAGACGAAGTAGCACATGATGAATCAGAGAGTGTAGAGTCTCATGTATTGGGTTTCCTTGAGCAGGAAGGAAGACACAGAGACACAGAGAGACAGACCAAGAGAGAGAGAGAGAGAGAGACAGAGACAGAGACAGAGAGAGAGACAGAGACAGAGAGAGAGATTGCCATTCCCTTTTTTTTTCTTTTTGTTCTTTTGACGTGGTGCGAGTAGCATCGCTGTTGTCTGAGCACACTGACATTTGTTTTTTTTTTTCCTTTTCTTATCAAAATTCGCACTGAAATTGGTTTGCAATTCTGGTTGGATGACATGGTTTCAAAACTCTCTCTCTCTCTCTCTCTCTCTCTCTCTCTCTCTCTCTCTCTCTCTCTCTCTCTCTCTCTCTCTCT